AAAAAAAAAATGTGTAAGTATCATCATAGCCCCCTCACCCCTCTTATACTCACCAGAGTCTTCGCTTGATCCAGTGCTTTATCCATCTGCAATTGCTCCCACTGCTGTCAGTCAAATCCTGTGACGAGGGGGAGCACAGGACAAGGCTGAGCCGCACTGCCTGTGTCTATGGATAGGATCAAGGTGTGCCACGAAAGGAAGAAGCTTCCTATGGTGGCACACCCAGGAGAGGAAAGAAATGGAAGTGCAGGGCCTCTCTGTGCAATTCCATTCCACAGAGGAGATGAGAATTACATGGAAAAAAATGGCCATTGGCTCCCGTTGCTGTCAGTCAAATCCTGTGACGAGTGAGAAGGGGGCAAGGCTGAGACATGCTGTATGTGTCTTTGGACGCAGGCAGCATGGGTCAGGATCAACCCTGCAGGTGTGCCATGATAGTAAGCAGCTTCCTATGGTGGCACACCAAGAAGAGGAGGAGTCAGGGGGAGCAGAGAAGAGGTCCAGGGCCACTTTGTGCAATTCCATTGCACAGAGGAGGTAAGTATAACATGAAAATAAAAGTTTTCTTTACAATCATTAAGTCCTATCTGTCTCAAAAAGGTCAGACAACACTCTGTGTGGGTCGTGCCAGGGGCCCTGCTATTGAGACCGCCCATCAGAGATTTACTTGGAAACTCAAGCAGAGAACCCAGGTAGTCAGAGATGAAGAGCCTTCTCCACCCAGATTCTTCTCCAGCTGTATTACACCTACATTAAGACACTAAGCCATTAGGTTTGTCCTTCTGTTCTGGCAGTGTCACAGGACACTGAGCATTTGGCAAGTGTGGCTGAAGTGTTGTGTGTCAGCATGAACGAGTCTAGAGGCTTTCAGAAATATTACAGGTACAAAGCTTACAACACTGAGTTAGACTCTGGCACATAGTACACTTATAAGTGAGTGTGCAACTTCACTGAGAACAAAACTAATCGAGAAACATTTTTTCCCATAGGGCCTATAAACAGTGTGTTTGGACAAGTCCAAAAGGTTTCAGCAGTTGAGCCAAGAATCTTGATAAGTATGTTTCTTTCTAATAAGAAGGGATTGTGTTTGCTTAAAATATATGTAATGTAACACCAATATCTTCTGACTGCATTTGTCACCAAACATTATACTGTTTTTGTAATAATACATTTTGGTGATACAGTTAGGTTCCTTGGAGAGTATACTTGTAATCTACACACAGCAGTTTACGGCATCAGCTTTCATGTCTGACCAAATTTTGTTTTAATATTAACATGTATGTCTATGGGTGGCAAAATAAATAATAAAAATGTCTCCCATGTTTCCTCTCTTTAAGTACACAAAAATTTGTGTTGATTTGTCCAAAATTTAGTAAACTTCCTGCCATGCAGAAATCTCAAGCAATGTAATCCAGCCCAGTTCACCACTGGACCTCAGACACCTACCCCTTTATGTTATGAAGGTGAGTAACCATGGGACAGAAGAGACACTGTGTTGTCAGCTCGCATAAAAATGCAGGCATTCACTTGCAGGTCACCAGGTTTTTTTTTTTTTTTGTACTTGCTATTTTTAAAAAAAAAGAGATGAAACAAGGAAAACGTGCATGTATTACAGAGATGTCATGTATGCATATTTTATTTTATTTTGCCCCAACATACACATTGGGGTTGATTTGCAAAATCTGGTGCAGCTGTGCATGGTAGCCAATCATCATCAGCTTGTTCAATTAAGCTTTGAATAAAGAAAAAACCTGGAAGCTGACTGGTTTCTATGCAGAGCTGCACCAGATTTTGCACTCTCCAGCTTTAGTAAATCAGCCCCATTGCTGGCAGTACTGATACTATCATGCAAGGTTATCTTAAAATATACTAAATCCCTAAAAATCCAATAGCATGCTGAAACAATAGAACATCAAAATGTGCAGTAGCCCATAAATCGATAATACTAGTAAGCTCAATAGAAGGTGTCTGTATGCCAACAAGAGTGAGAAATCTAAAAATACTTCAAAGATAAAATTACTACCAAAAAAATCAGGAAAATGTGTAAAGCAATTTTGTTCACATATCTTATGTAAAGAGAATGCTTATTGTCTTATATCAAACTGTCATATTTAGATTAGATAATACTATTTCTCACCAATTTCAGTATCATGGTAATACTCCTTTAGTCATCTTACTTAAGCCTAGTACACAAGTACCTGCTGAACTGGCAAGAATTTCAATATGTCTACCGCTATCTGTTCAACAGAAGCTGGTCTAATGACTGGCTGCTGTCGAATGGCCTGATGGAAAACCAGCATTCGATCAGAGCTTGCATCCAATTGAAAGTCCCCGCTGTCAGAATACAGTAGAACAGCAGGAGAGATTCCTGCATTAATATCGCTTATATTGATGCAGGGATCTCTGTTTTTGTTTCATTCAACCCACTGGTTGAACCAAAAAAAAAAAACCTGTACCTATATACCCAGCTTTAGACTTTACTGTAATTGATGTCACTAAGACGCAATGAAGGTCATCTTGTGTGCTGGCAAAAAACTAGAATGAAGCCTAACAATTTCACAATTGGTAACAATGGCTGCTTCTATAGTGCACAGATGAAGGGAATATGTTAAAGAGTAACGCCACTTTTGTCGAGAAAAAAAACCCATACCCCTCTAGGTGATCTATGTAAATTGCAAACTTTGTTGCAGATTCCTCCATTTTGTTCTAAAGGAATTGCTGTTTGTCTGTGTCCATGTGCAAAGTGAGTGTGAAAATGAGTAATTATCAATCAACTGCTGCACTTGCAGGGTTCTAATGAGGAAAGTAGCAGGGTCTGAGTCCCTTTCGATGTGATTAATCCTTTGGAAGTATCTCACCTAAACTGAATTTTTTGTTGCAGAGGATGCCCAAAATCTGATTTGTATCTTAGTGCAGACTTCTGGGGAAATGACATTGGTTTAGGGTATTCCATAAACAAACTGTGTACAGGTTGCCTGCAGGTTGCAATATTACATTGAATTTTACAGAGAATTACAGTGCTGCAGACTGAAAATGAAAGGTAATTTTTAAAAACCTTCAATTACAATATGACTTATGTAGCAATTGTAAATGCTATATATATTTTTTTTATTTGCTATTTATGTTCCCTACAAAACTGGAGTTACCCTTTAAGATGCATGATACAGGATATGTAAACAAATTATATTTATCAAGGATCAGTAAACCTAAAATACAAGCTTCCCAAATGTACAGTAAACTCTGAGACCACTGTTATCAACACTTATCTAAAAGGTTGCAATTTTTCCTAGCATAGTTGATTTAACCCATGGGAAGTTTGTTCATCCAGTACTGAACAGTAGATGTAAATCATTGGTAATGACAGACTTGGACGGCTACTCTTATATGATTGCCCAGTGTATGGTGAATGTAAAGCAGATATTAATCCAAGATCAAAAATGTAATATATTGCAGCTTACAGTTTTTAAATGTGTTGGCTGCTTTTGTTTTCAGACTTTCTTTTTCAATTTACTGATCCTGCCAGAGACACAATCTGTCCTAGAGCAGTGGTTCTCAACCTTCCTAATGCCGTGACCCTTTAATACAGTTCCTCATGTTGTGGTGACCCCCAACCATAAAATTATTTACCCAGTAATTCTAATTCATGAGTGTTGTTTTACCTCCAATACTGCTGCTTTCAACACAGTAGCTGCTTTTAACAGAGTAGCTGCTTTCAACACAGCAGCTGCTTTCTACACAGTAGCTGCTCTTTACACATCGGAAATATGTGTTTTCTGATGGTCTTAGGGGACCCCTGTGAAAGGGTCGTTCGACCCCCAAAGGGGTCACGACCCACAGGTTGAGAACCACTGTCCTAGAGTGACAATGCACACTCTGCTTAAAGGGGGACAGCAACGATCTCCCTAGCACTACAGAACACCTCCCCATCCCCTCATCCCAAAACTATTGGGGGTTGTTCTGTAATCCACAAGGAGACCTGACAACAATAACAATACTCTGAGGTGAGAATACAACGTTATCTGCCTACAATATTTCTAGCACGATCAATAGGTATTTTCTTGCACTTCTTGAACAGACATAAACAAAACATCTTCAATGGATAACAGACCAAAAGTAGCAAATAGAAGTTAATTGTTAGTAATTTTACAGTGTATTTAAACCCTAGTCACAGTTTAAATCTTAGCATGAGGCCACGTAGTACATTATAAAGACTCTTATCACAGTACAAGAACTTTATCTTGGTTATTTTGAATTCCGATAAACTCAAGAATCATTGTATTTGTATCCATAAATGTTTTTTTTTTTTATTTTATATATAAAACTTGCTTTCAATTTAGGTTTGCTGGCCTTTTGAACTTAAAAACCTGAATGTATACACTCAATCAACCTCTCAACATGACCTTGCAGTTAACACATATTTGTTTAATAAAAAAATGATAAAAAAGCACATAAATCAACTGAAGATTAATTCACATAAATTAGGTGAATAGACAGTGACATGGGTACTTTTAAAGAGCAGATATGTACAGTCGATTGAACAGTGTTTACTTTCGGCCATTATAGTGTTAAGATTTTTTTTTTTTTTAAATGATTGACTTGTTACTATACATTGCATTGATTGAACTTTTAACAGTAAAAAAAAAAAAACCAAAAACAAATAAAATAACTAAGCAAAGCGCATCCTCCAGGGTGTACATGTATTCCATAATTTTAACCAATAACTTTTCAGCCACCTTACACAAGAGTGCAACACATTAGATGGTCTTTGCTGAATAATGTTGTTAAAAATGGTGTGCAAACTTCAGCTGTTCCCATTAAAAAAAAAAAACTGTGAAAGTACTAGTCGAGTCAAGTGGGACCTGAAAATCCATTCTTACCTCTGAACATAGTACATTTAAAGATATATTGTGGCTCACACAGTAGACAAGTGTTTATGCAGAGTATTGTGCTAGGCAAGGAATGTAGCTAAAAGAATTGACATTTTGCCACAGGGAAGTTGCTTAAAGTTTTGTGCTGGGGTGGACCGAGGACAGTTGGGAGGATGGAAAAGGGGACTGGGGATTGATTGCCGTTAAAGGGTAGATACTGTTGTGTAGTAGGTCACCATATGAAGATCCTACAGGGGCTGCTGAAGCCAAATGTCTATAGAGCTGATGAGAGTTTGTGGAGTTAGTTAGATATTGTCTTTGCATCATCAAGGAATGAAGGGCTAAGGGTTGCATTAGTGGTGAAAGCACACTCTGGTTTTTCAAGTACTGTAGTGGATGGGAGTAGGCAGCTGGTATATGTGTGCCGAGGCCACCACATAAACTTGCTGGGTAGATTCCAGGAAAAATTGGAGTGGACAATGGATATTTGTGACTTTCCATCATACTAGAATGAATGTCATGAACAGATTTGCTGCTTTCACCCTCTTGGCCAGTAAAGCACTCTTTCCCTGGTATTTCCTTTGACACATTTAAAGGGGACACAGCTCGTATTTTTTTCTCACTGATAGGCCCTTCTAGATCATCTAAGCTTCTTTTCAATGGCCGTAAAGCTCCAAAGTTCTGAGGACTGACTTTGCCAACTGTGATTGGATGAACAGGGCCCTCCATCTTCCTCACATTTTCATGTCTTACACTGTGTGTCTTTAATGACCTGTGAACAGACTCATGGTGTCTTTTTGATATTGGAATTGTCATTGGTGAAACCCTACAGGCCTTTGGATTGCAGTCTATTCCCATACTCTTGTTGTTTGGGACCTGAAACGGACTTTGAGTTTTGCTTTCTTGATGCACCAACTGATGAGAGAGGTTAGATCCTGATATTTTGGCTGTGTGCTTGTGCATAGATTTGGGAAGGCTCAAATCAGTTGGTTGGTCATCCATATGATCAGTTACATTCTGTTTTTCCTGTTGGTGCAAAGAATGATGATAGTGAAGCTTCTCATGATGTTTATTGGGAGAGGACATATTTTCAGATTCTCTATACAGTTCCCGAGGATGATACTTTGAAGGATGTTCATTATGAAGATGATGTTCTGTTTGTCGGTAAAGCCTATGTAGATGAGGTGATGAGTAAAATTCCAAGAAGTTGGAGTGCTGTGAAGCTCTCTTCTCAGCCATTTGCTCTTTATGTTCAAGCATACTGGACTTTAAGGAATATGACTCTGCAAGGACACTCTGTTGGTGCTTTGCAAAGTCAGAGCGGTAAGAGTCAGCTTTGTTTATGGTACTGATTTTGTAAGGGTCATTCAAGCTCTTTTTATCATCTGATGTTTTATGCTTAAAACTTTGAACGTGTTGTATCACTGATGGTCTGTTGACCAGCATGGTTTCAGAGTTGGATGCTGGATGGGGTTGTACTAAAGGTGGGGATATTTCCGTTTTGGAGTTTAATTTTTTCTTGCTAATTAAGGGTGGGGGTGAACCATAGGGGTAGCTTCCAGATTGCGCAGCTCCACTAACTTGTGATAAAAGCTTCTTTTTTGCCAAAGGGGACATAATTCCTGGGTTTCCCCTTGAGTACAACAAAGGTGTATAGGTGAAAGATGATTCTTCACTTAATGATGACGATGTGTCCTTCTCTTTCAGCACATCCAGAGTTTGCACTAAGTACACTTTAGGATTCTGCTTTAGTGCATTTTGTAAAATGTTACTGTCCAGAGGATTCTTCAGGTCCTCAGAGACCAACGGGTCTACCTTTACGGTGCAATTTGCAATATAATCTGGCATGTCAGGCAGTTTTTCATCTTCTATGTGGTTTTCATGTGGAACCTGTAGCTGAACTGTGGGAAACATATTGAAATGTCCTTCTTGGGCGTCCATTTCAGATGGCTCTGATAATTCTTGTTTGCTTTGCTCTTGTTTTATTATGGTTGAATTTTCGATTGTCATTTGTGGTTGTTCATCTGCCGGACTAGAGTTAATCTCTTTTACTACATGAGTGAATGAGTCAGCGGGAATAGGTTCAGAGTGCATTTTATCTTCATTTTTCACATGGCATGTGTCAGAAATAGACTCCTGTACTTGTTCTTTTTCTTCTGTTAAATCAGAACACTCTGCAGATGGCTTGGTCTCATCTGAATCATAGACAATTGACACACCTTTCTCTTCTACATCAAGGTGATTCTCCTCCACTGGTGAAGCCTAAAAAAACAAATACATGCCTTTAATAATGTTCATGTAGATAGCAGATTTGAAATGAATGGTAATTTTGATTTGATTTTTTTTTTTTTTGCAAGCAATAACTTTAAAGCCAACTTTGCTTGTAATGTGAACCAGGATTAAGTTCAGGTCACAGAACAAACGTTCTATGCTTACTTACAGGCCCAGTATATGCTGCATAAAAATACACTGCACTGCCAAGGTGCTCTTACAGTCCGAAGCCACAATTAGAGGAACTACTGAAAGGAATGAGGACCACAGTGTCCTAAAGCTGCAGCCTACAATTTCAAATGTAAGCAATTTCCATTTTGTTTAGAGAAGAATTTGTATACATTTTCAGTAACATAATTTAACTTTTTTTTTAGTCAGAATATGTAGCCAGCAGGTAATGCACATGATGTGGTTCTTTACATGCTATATTATTACTATGCTGAGAATAGCTTCTGATTTGATCCCCTAACCTCTACATAGCACACACAACTTAACGAGTCAGGACACCCTGATCACAAATAATACCAAAAAACTATTATTACATTTGTGGACATTAAAAGAAAACGGCAATAGGTTTTAGCCATTTTTATTCAAAACCACTAGGCTTCACACAATTGTTGAACATCAGTTTTTGGGTATCCTGTACCCTTTAATTTCAAACCTACAATCACCCTAACAGTTCTGGAATTGTGAAATAAATAAAGCTTCTCTTAATTATCACATTTGCCAATGACCATTCAAGCTAGCTCTGCAAGTTAAATAACCAAACTGACCAGTGTATAAATAAACCTGTTGTGAAAATTGCAGATCATGAAAGACTTTTTTTCTTTTTGCTGACAATGTAACGTTGCTTGACTTGGGTTTGTATTAAGTTCAGCTTTATTTATGAATTCTATGTCCCAAGGATATGAATTTCTTCATACTGATATACCACAAACTGAAATGTTTACCTAATGGTCATATGGGTACTTGAGTCAGCATTACAAAAATATCCATGGCTAGCTACTCAAAACACTAGATCAGCTAAACTTTACAATAGTTTTAAGAAATCTGCCATGTGAATTGGTGGGAGAAGTTTTGAGTAACATTTCAAAAGAAGAAAAACCATAGTATCCCTACAGATAAAAAAAAAAAAAAAAGAAAAACAGTAGTTTCCCTATTAAAAAAAAAAAACAAAAAACAACCTGCTCAAACTAAAAACTGAGGATGTCACCCACAAATGCAGCAATTTTGTCTTACAGTTAAAACTCTTATTTACCACTTGCTACAATGCTATATAATACATATGGTCTAGTTAAAAACTGTGTATGGGTAATAAATAGAATAACACAAATTAATGGTGTTGGCTAAATAAATCTATATTTGTATCACAGTCTAGAAGTATGAAGATATTCACTAGCTAAACAAGAGTCTCAAGTTTAGCAAAGGTACAAAGTGTTCTGCTATGGTACATTTTAAGTTAACGTATAGGTTCTCCTTTTGTAACATGTTACACCCATATTTAGGGTGTAACATGTTACAGATGCACCAGCATCCGCATCCCCCCCCAAATCCCCTGTTTTTGACAGCGAGTAAGGGATCTTCTCCCCCCTTCTCACTAAAAAAAAAAATGCGGGGTTCTGCCCGCCTGGCCGGGTCATTTATTCAGTGTATGTGAAAACTACAAGTACCAATAGCCTTTCTAGCTGTCAACTTGCAGTTGTCAATGAACTATCAGGGCGCTTTTGAGCACTCAAGGTAGTTCATTAAGCTTCCAGTCAGTGTGTAACTGCCTGCCCATATCAGAGGTATGAGCAGACAGCTACATAGACAGTCTTGTAGGACTGTGTAATTGCACCTATGATCTGCTGATCTTGGGTGCAATGCTTTATGGTCTCCTATAAAAAAAAAAAAAACATTTTAAAAGATATTTTTATCTGCAAAAAAATGTGCATTTATTATTTTTTTTTTTTTTTGTGAAGGTGAACTTATCCTTTTAATAGTAAGTCTTTTTGCAATAGAGAAATGTCTTATGAATTGGGGTTCTTTCCCAAAGGAACATGACACATTGTCATTTCTTGTCTGCAGCAGTCACAAATTTAGACCTCCTAGTCCCATTCATGTTGTCATATTCAGCAATACTTTAGTTTCAGTGGGTAAATTCCTGAACACATTCATTACAGGGATCATGTATCTCTATAGCTGACAAATCGACTTGGACTAGTTTGTGAACATGACTCTGCAAGAATTCTTGTCCCTGTAGCAACCAATTTAACTTCATGGCAATCTGATTGGTGCAATGGGTCAGTCTAGACCCAATGAGCTCTGCTCTTGTAAGCATAGAGGAAGGGTATAATAAAAGAGGTATGTGATCATGACCTATAAGAGAAAAACTAGTGATAACCTTGCATTATCTAAATATCACCAATTAAATGTTCAAATATTAAACATTTTCCATTATACCTTTAGAAATGTTACTACAGACCAAATGTGTCTACTAATTGAAAAGGAGTCTAAGTATCTGTACAGTTAGAATAGCAATATAGTTTGGCTTTTGATTCAAGTCTGTTTCATACAGCATATTTGATAAGATCGGTGTTGGCAATTCTTGCTATTCATTCCATTATGTCGTGATGTAACCTCTGACCCCAAGGGTCATTGGCCCATTCTATCTGCAGTACTGCAGCCTGACAGGCCTAACAATGGCTGCGGTCTTTCCCTTGTGAAGCCATTTTAAATCATTGTGTAAAATCTTATTATTTTTCTCTTCTCCCTTGATGAGATATCATAGACTGAGCAACATAAAGAAATGTATTATCTAAATACTGTACCGCTGGTCATTACTTTCAAATAAATAAAAAAGAGCTAATGATTCATGTCTGTTTTGATGCTGTCATTTTCACATTGCATCCTTTCAATTCCCTTGTCTTTTAATATTTTTAACAGATAAACTTTTTTTAAGCCATGTATTCACTGTTCTCTATTCTTCTCCCTAATAACAGCTCTTTTCACTCAGAATGCCATCATTAGTTGTTTAATAAGTATTGCTTTATCAGTGGTCTCTAGAGCTTATTCAATTACATGAGAATACCAGACTGGTGAGCAATGCTGGAGAAAGAGGGGGGTGGAATTAAGTAGTATTTAAAAATAAAAATCGCCATTTGTTTCTCTTCAATAGCAGCTCTTGTGATTTTTTTTTTTTTTTTTTTTTTAAATTGACACCTACTATGTTGTTTTTTTTAATCCACAATTTAAATTATATATTAAGGATTGCTCAGATTAAGTGGATACACATGCAGAAGAGTGAAACAAAGTTTAAATTTGGGTTGGTGAGTAATTACCATACAGACTATTAATTAAACGATTATTAATGTAAAACTTTGAAGAGGAGACTATGGTTTAATATATAAGACTTTTTTAGATTTGCTTTACAAATGTCATAGTTTTGTTCTGAACAACCCAGCAAGAAAAGAATCATTTGAATTAAAAGGCCTCTTTGTTGCTCAAAGATTTGAAACACGCTCAAAGCAAAATGTAAATAAAACATTACCATTAGGGACAAAAGCTAAGAGGAATAAGTTTTATTGCTTGTTGCCTAATAACCCTTTCATTGCCAGAGCTTTTTTTGTGTGTGTGTGTAGGAGGGGTGGGTGGGTGTGTGGTTGTGGAAGAGGGGGTTGCACATATTTAAAAAAAAAAATAATAATTTTAGGCCTGAAGATTACTGCAAATCCCCAAACATAATATATTTTCTGAAAGATGGCTGGGGTATAAAATAGTGGTAGTTCCAAATTTATTTCTCACATGATATTTGCACAACGACTTATCAAGTGCAAATTTTCAGTAAAAATACCCTAAAGTCCATTTTTGGTACAATATAAAAGAGGATGCAGTGAGTAAAGAGATACCCAACATGTCTAGCTTTAACATTTCATGTGTACCCTATATTTTCCATAATGCTTTAAAAGCCCCATACAGGCCATCACTTTAAAATTACCCGTGAATTTTGAACTTAATTATTATTATTATTTTGTTTTTTTTTAGAGGGGTTCTAAGTGCTTTGGTGTAACTTCGTTTTACACTTTTTTTTCACTAAAAAGTTCACTAGAGTATGAAATAAATCCTTTTTGACAGGTTCTCTTTTTAATGAGACATTGGGGTCTTTAGGACCCCTGATATCTCACCTACCCTTCTTTGACAACAGAAACGGAAAGTGATGTTACATACATTACTTCTGGGTTCTTCATAGCTAGGAGAGATCATGTGCTAATCTCCATCATCTCCACCTGGAGAAACCCAGAGGTGGGACAGCAGAGCCTGGGAAGCATAGCGGGGGGAGGGTCAAAGTTCTAGGGGGTCACTGAAAGTGATCAGGTGGTTGTACAGCTGCCTGATCACTTTCATAAAAAATCCAACAGCTTGTGTGTAAACAGCCACGGGTATGAGAGTGTCTCTGTGTATATATTTTTTTATATATCTAGGCAAGTGCTACCAGGGCTGAAAAATCTGAAAAAAGACATGTAAAGTATCTTTATGGCTGGTGACTATATATTTAACTTTAGCAATACACTTACGGAACATGCAGATTGCTGGAAGCATTTGATGAGCAGTTGCACATATGTTATTAAACCATTACATAGAGTAATTTAGATGTACAGTATTTCACAACAAACATCTGTCCCCTTTCATTGTTATCTGACTGTTTGGTTTACTCTGGCCAGCCTGTTTGTGGACCAAACTCTACAGCATATTTGAATTCTACATACAGAAAATCCCTGGAATTATAACAAAAATATGGGGCTGTAATCAACCTAACAAACACTTGAAATGATCTTTTCTATTTTCTTAAATTCTGTGCCTGTGTGCCGAAATAAATCAGAGGTAGCAATGAAACCTTTTGTTATGTAACATCTTAAGTGTCATTGTCCTTCCTTATACAAATGTTTGTTGTGCTG